GAGACTACTACATTCACTGTTTTTTTTTGCTTGTTTGTTTTTTTTTTTGATTTATCCCAAATTTGAATTATATGGTATTAAACAAGTATTCAAATACAGATAAAGGATTCACCATATTCTTTATATTTGTAGGTTTTCTCTGTGAATTCTCTGGTGTTTTCTAAGATTTGAACCCTGGCTAAAGGATTTTCCACATTCATTACATTTATATGGTTTCTCTCCTGTGTGAATTCTCTGGTGTTGAGTAAGATTTGTGCAATGGATAAAAGCTTTGCCACACTTTTCACATTTATAAGGTTTCTCTCCAGTATGGATTCTCCGGTGTTTAGTAAAGGATGAACAACAGTTAAATGCTTTGCCACATTCTTCACATTTGTAGGGTTTCTCTCCAGTGTGAATTCTCTTGTGTTTCCGAAGGCTTGAACACTGGGTAAAGGACTTTCCACATTCTTCACATTTGTAAGGTTTCTCTCCAGTATGGACTCTCTGGTGCTCAATAAGGGTTGAGCTTTGTGTAAAGGCTTTGCCACATTCTGCACATTTGTATGGCTTCTCTCCAGTGTGTATTATCTGGTGTTTTCTAAGGATTGCACACTGGGTAAAGGATTTTCCACACTGTTCACATTTATAAGATCTCTCTCCAGTATGTATTCTCTGGTGTTGACTAAGGATAGAGCAGTGGTTAAAGGCTCTGCCACATTCTTCACACTTGTACGGTTTCTCTCCAGTGTGTATTCTCTGGTGCTTTTTAAGACTTGCACATTGGCTAAAGGATTTTGCACATACTTTACATTTGCAGGGTTTCTCTCCTGTGTGAACTCTGTGGTGTTTATTATAACTTGAACAATACTTAAATGCTTTGCCGCATTCCTTACATTTATACGGCTTCTGTGCATAACCAACTTTATGCACAGTAAGGTTTGAGATTTTAGTAAAGGTTGTACCACAATCTATACTCTGGAAGTGATTATCTTGAATACGGTTATGGTGATGGATAGAGAGTTTGGATCTCTGAGGAAAGATGCTCTCACTTTCATAAAGCTTCTTTGGAAACTGAGTACACTGATGTTCACTGGGACTTGAGACATGGGCAAAGTTGTTCTGTGTTTTGTTGCATTGGTCAGGTTTCTCTACAATGAACATATCCTTGCAATTATTTAACGTAGATCCCTTACTAAGAGCTTTGCTATTTTCTTTACATACATATGGGATATTCCAAATATCTATATCTGGATTTTGACTAAGAAATAGTGGATCAGTAGCAAATGTTCCATATTTTTTGGAGCTGTACATTTGGCCATAGGAACAATCTAATTGCTGATTGCAGAATAAGGAATTTTCATTATAGGAATTTTCTAATGGATCACATTTAGTGAATTTTTTGTTTTTCAATCCCTTGTCTATTGAAATGTTTGAGTGAAAGATTAATCTACTCAAATTGTTCAACTTACCAACTGAAGAATGAACTAAGCCCCTCTTCAAGTTTTCCAATCTTTCTATCAAAGTTAAGTTATGCCTCAAAATTTCCTGTGGATATTTACTTCTACAAACACGTGGCTTGCCAAAAGTAACTGTCCTAGCTTGAGGTGTTTTCTGCTCTTGATCTCTCTTGATAGTGACATATTTCCTGTTCTTAGTGATCACACATTGGTTATATCCATCATGGCAGGCTGCTTGACCTTCAGTTTCATCCATACTTTCCCATTCGTCCTTTAAATATAAACTCCCCAGGTCACAAGTTCCATGTCTTCCATTAGACATTTTTTGGAATGAATACTTTATGAATTGTTCTGGAAAAAATCCCTGCGTGCAATGAGGAGATAGAACTGAAATAAATAAAAATAACAAATTATCTCAGACTCAAGTGAATATAAGTTTATAATATACAAAATTATACAAGCTTAGAACATCCATATTTGGAAACCACAGTACTAAAGGCACTCATTACTCTATTGTATATCAATCACAAAAATATTGAAAAATAATGAAAAGAATTATTGACTAAATTGACTTTGTGACTCTCCCCATAACCAGTTAAGAAGCCATAGCTTCCTAAGGGAGCACATGCCAAGGTCAGTCCCAGTGTAGCAGCAAGAGAAGGCATTTTTGTTTGTCAACTACAGGTCCTTTCCCCTATGTAAAACTGTGCAATGAGGAAGATTCTCCAAACTATGCTTCCCACTCAGGAGAAAAAAAATAGTACCTATGTATACATTTCTATTCAGTTTTTCTAGGGATTGTCTGGAACCTGGTATCTACCTACCATAACGCAGAGTACAGAGGATATTATTTTGGTACCCCAGATTGTCATCGGTGTTGAGAGCCCATGTTATCTAGTGAAATCTGCAGAAAAACTACAATCCACACAGCAGATATCCTGAGAACACTTTTCAGCTTCTTCTATAGCTCTAGAATATTGTCAGATTTACTTGAATGAAAACAAATTGAGGATAGGAAATAATTTCTGAATATAAAGGAAATTATCATTGTTTATTGATCAATTTCACTGAAAAATAAACTCAATCTACTCAACATTTATAGCATGATATTTTAAAGTGTATATTCAAGTAGAATGATTAAATCTAGTGACAGCATATTACTGCTTCATATAATTTCTGAATAGATGAATAAATTTCTAGCATGAATACTGCAAATAATGGCATAGTGATGATTGGCGATCATTCAATAGACTGAGTAAGAACACCCAAAACATTAACTTGCAGCAGCTGGAGAGATGGCTCAGCAGTTAAGAGCATTGGCTGCTCTTGCAGGGGATCGGGTTTGATACCCAACGCCCACATGGCAGCTAACAACTGTACATAACTCCAGTTCCAGGGAATCCAATGCCCTCTTCTGACCTCCACAGGCACTGGGCAACACAGGTGCACTTATATACATACAGGCAAAATACTCATACAAATAAAAAATAAAAATAAATACATCAAAAAATGTTTTTGTTTTACTGAGACAGGGTCTTCCTGTAGCCTCAGTTGGCCTGGAACTCAATATGTAGACCAGGCTGGCCTCAAACTCACAGAGATCTGCCTGCCGCTGCCTCCTTAAAGTCATGCACCACCACACCCAGCTGGTTCCTTCTTTTTGCTCATGTATTGAACCCGTCTTTGGAGGATTTTGTTTATTTTCATTTTCTGAGACAGGGCTTCTTTGCATAGCTCAAGCTGTCTTGGAACTCATTATTTCCTTGTTCCAGACCCTGGCTCTTTTTTTTTTTTTTTTTGGTGACTAAAACCCACTATGTAGACCAG